ATATATATTTCTTATAACTTATTACTAGAGGGTTCAGAACTAGAGTCAATATCGATATCCACGTGTAGACTGTAGAGATGATATCAGTACTAATGCCCCGTATCCGTTCTATCTCATTCTGTTGAATCTTGTGGAACTAGTTTAACGCGGCCAGGCGTCGTCTTCCACAAGGCAATCATTTCCGTAATTTTACGGAGTTTTTCGGTAATTTTTAAACGTTCCGTAACCTTTCCGTAATTTAAAAAAAATTATTTTATTTGTTTGAAGGATTTTTCCCAGTCCTACTCTTAAGAATTATTTTATAAACCAACATTCCAAAGGTTCTAATCCCCGAATATAACTGACCTGAAGCAGCAGTAACCCTCAACTATTGATCCCCTCCTTCTCTAACTGTCAAAAAAGCTTTTATAAATAGGCTCTGAGTAGCTTAAATATCTCAATCCACCGCCTCAAGCTTAAACATTATTCACGGTTTAACAAATATTCGGTGGTTTTATACCGTTACCTAATATACATATTAGTCTACTCATAGATATTAACAATTTACATATTTTTCAACATGGTAATTCAATTTACCGGCCAATACATTTCATGCAATAAGAAGATTTAAAATTTGGGATGCAATAAACAAATAGATAATAATCACGTTAAACTAAAGTAAATTGTATTTTAGATTGAAATCTTATATTTTTTTCAATCTATGACTATTGATATTTGAGAAGAGTAAAAACGGTTTAAATTTCTATTACAGTGAATCCCAGATATATGAAATAGAATGTGAAAGCATGAAATATTGATTATTCATTTACAAATAAAAATGATACAAATATATTCTTGGTTCAACATTCTCTGAAATGAAATGAAAGATTATCTATAATTTATCCACTCTGGCATGATTGACATGATATTGCTCCTGATGGTGTAGTTGGTGTTCATGTGGATGAACTGCAGAGATGACAATGTTTAGTAGATTTATTACGCTGATTTTTGGCGTTCGATCAATTCAAGCAACGTAAATTAATAATGACTCCATGAGTCAGGTTTTTATCCTTGACTCTGCCACTTTCTATAAAATTTATTAAAGGACATATGTCATATTAATTATATGTTTTGCTGGAGACCAAGCATTAAACACCATTCTTTTTCAAGGTCATTTTATCTTGGGGTTTAATTCATTAATTCATTCATTAGTTTACCTATTACACATGGGTATTGGTGATTGATACATTTATTAATTTATATAAAAAACTGTTGATTTTAATAAGGGCATTATTTCATTCTTTCATTTATTAATCCTATCAATACTCAAAAAGCATGCATTATTTTATTCATTAGTTCATACTACAAATGTGAACATTTATCAATGCATTCATTTATTCTCGAAGCATTATCATTCATCCTCATGGGCATTTAGTAATCCATTCATGAATTCATCAAGTAAACATTGGTGATACATTCATTTTCATCTTTCACGCGGAAATTCATCTATTTATCCCACACACATGGATTTTAAAAGAAACCCCATCCATCCGCATTCATCTTTCAATTTGTCTATATATCCTACGAACATTGACATTCACTAGGTCAATTGACCCATTCATTAACACATTCATCCTTTCATCTTAAATAAACGCGGGCATTCTTTCATTTTATTCATTCATTCTTTGAAACAGTCTATACTTTCATTTATTTGTAAGTTTACTTTCTTTTTTATTTATATTTCTTCTCTGTCATCCTTCATTTCTGTGATCCAGATAAGGCAATACAAAGTACTATATTGCAACATGGGGTGCACTAAAGCGGTAGGAGCCTTCAGATTATATACTTTCTATTTTAAATAATGGGTTTTTGGAAGGGGAGGGGGTCGGGGTAAGCAATTATAAATTGTCTGTTTAGGCTTCCTAAATGACCATATCAGGCCTAAATGTATATACAGCCTAAATTTTATAAACTGCCTTATACTCATGCATTTAGAGCTAAATATTTAGGCCTGAGGTTGGGATATACCGCACCCAAAATATGTAACATTTAAGTAAATATGCTTTTCTTCCATAAAATCTTAGAAGTTGTCAGAATGTTAGTTCACAGAGTTCACTGGTCGTTGTTCCAGTCCCCCCCTCCCCATGGGGGAGGGGGGTCACTGCCCGCTCCTACCCATATTACAAGTATATACACATAAGATTTATTTATTCCAAACTTTTGTTTATGTCCCATGTATTTAAAATAACTATAAATTTTACAACTGGGTCCTGCTCATATTAGTATTATTAGCAATAAAATGCTAAAATGTCGTCATTTTTATAGGTGTCCAAGTCCATCATGTAAAGTGAAAGAACTAGTATAAAAATCGAAAATTGATATATATGTGAGTATTGACCATAAATCTTCCTTCCAACCCCTCCCCAAACAATGTGGTTTTCAACCAACCCCTCCTCTCGGAGAAAATCCAAACCGAAGCAAACAAAGGAAAACACCAAACAGTTAAACAAGTGAACAATCAAATCCACAAAGAAGCTTTGCAATACATAGTAATTACACTTAAAACAACTGGGTTTATAATTTCAGAAGAATTTCCAAACGTTTTAAACTACTCCATCAGATCCTCCAATCACTCCTTAATATCCTGTCACGACAAAACAGTAAGTTATTTAAGTAAACATTCAAATCCATTTTTTATATCAACATTCGTTTATCATATCTGTATTTTATATATCAACATTTGTTTATCATATCTGTATTTTATATATCAACATTTGTTTATCATATCTGTATTTTATATATCAACATTTGTTTATCATATCTGTATTTTTTTAGATTTGAAATATATCCATTTACATGAGTATTTGCGACTTCTGTATTTGAGTTAAGGAGTCTAATCAATGAACCAACTAACCAACGAACCAACTAACCAGCAAACCAACTAACCAACGAACCAACTATCCAACGAACCAACTAGCCAATTAACCAACCAACCAACCTAAAATCTATTTGTGAACGCATCGGCTAAGTTTCCACAGTGAGTTCTTAAATTTTGAAGCTAAGCCTGTAAACTTGTTGTTGCAGAAAGCATTTTTCATGATATTTTTTTAACCGGGCGCGTGCGCATTCACACATTTACTATTCACACATAAAATTTGCACTATTCTTGGTATTCAATAGTCCATTCACCCATTCGGGTTTTTTTTTCAAAAAATAATTTGATCTAATTTCCACATAAAAAGTTTAAAGTGACTATTTTTGTAATTTCAAATGTCCCTCAATTAAAAGAGAAGCAAATGCCCGATTCTAAATTGGGAAGGGTTTAATTCTAATACTTCCTACATTGTTTCATTGAAATTTGCAGTAAAAATCCGCGACCGCGAATTAGTATGGAAAAACTGAAAATAATCTGTTTTCAAAATTATAAACATTTATACTTAATTCAAACTTGATCAGTCACAGTTTTAGGGTACCGTTGTGAATCAGACATGCCATTCCTACAAATATAAAGAGTCACCTGAAATTGAGTCTATACAGAAAACAGATATCTACTAGTAAGTCGTATAAGTATATGAACAAACCCCAAAATAAGTTGAATGAAAGAATGCCCAGATACAGGGTGTCCCACGAAGCATGACAGTATGCAAGAGGACTTGAATGTCGTCTTGATTTTTGATATAATTTGCTGTGTTTATTTGTCAACCTAATTTTAGAAGTAAATTTCTAGAGATAATAATCACAAAATTCCCCTAGTCCTGCCATTTCCAAAATGTGGTCTGCCTTTTATGTGCTTTCAATATTGCCCGACATATAAAGAATTTCGTTCAGATTTCGACAATTTTAAATTCAAATATCAAAGACGACTTTCAAGTCGTCTTGCTATTGTCATGTTTGGTGGGACACCCTGTATATGCAGAATCTTGCAACAATAACATAATGTATGTAAGTATATAATTTCAATCTTATGAAAATCTTTCAGTTTGATACAGTGGTACCCATAAAACTGTGGATTAGAAAGACCACTATAAAACTCAAATTATGACCGTAAATATTGCAATGATCACATGAATCACAGCAATTATGCAATGTCCACTGTACACTGATTTTGATTTTAAAGCATAATGGTAAACCTATATATGAATATATTCTTTGTAGCAACTCAAATAAGCATACGATTGATCAAATATCGTCTTTCTTTCACAGTTGCCCCCCTCCCCTGGATTAAACGCCTCGGCCCTCCAGCCAATTCGCATGAAAAAATTTAGATCTAAGCCTGTAAGGACTGTAAGAGTCCTAATGATTATTTGTATTCAATGATAAGTATAAAGAGAATTAGAAACAGATGAACCAAACATGTTTAAGAAAAGAAACAATTGAATAATACAGAGCTTCCAGGGAGTTTGCTGTGAATTACAAAATATACTTTTCAAGGGAATTCATCTACCCCCCCCCCCCCCACCCCCCGGAATATTTCATTTTAAGTCCCATATTTTAATTTTATGGCAGTTCTTTTTATTTTCAGCTTACAGGCTTATAGAAATAAGATTAGAATAAATGTCGTCTTCTGACAAAGCTGAATGGTAAATGCCGCGGTGGCAGATTTAATAATGTCAAATTCCCAGCCCAGCTGTACGAGAAGCAGGAGGAGCTGAAGCCGTAGGGTGGTCTGCGGAGCTTATGTTTAAAAGAAACTTAAAAATATTATTTTATATTCTTTTATATCGTTATGCATATTAGTGTTTAGATTTCTCAAAGTAAAGTTAATTGATTGTTTGGAGTTAACAATTCTAAAATAATCCGACTCTTTCATGATAATTAAATTGCTGCAAGAAACTATTTGATCTTGAGAGGCTAATTATTGGATAATTGGTAATTTCCTAGTATACGATTTTTGGACCCCCCCAGGCCCCCCCCCCTCCTATCAATTTTGTACATGGGTGTGACAGGAAGTTTCTAGACCCTATACCCCCAAAAATCGTTCACTAGGACAGACCCAAGATTATACCTTACAAATCGTCTTTTGAACTTTGATATTTTGTTAGAAAGCAAAATGTGTATAACCTAGCCCCAGATACAGTAGCAGTGATAAACTCTAGGAGGAGAAGGTTTTTTAGAAGGTGAGATGTTCTTTTACTTTAAACATGTAAAAATTAGTCAAGAAACATAAACCTTTCGAACCCCCGTCCCCTCACCCTAGCCGGTCTTACGTAATCTAACCCTCTTATCATTTCATGCATAAATCATCTATCAAAGATTATATATGAGACAGGGACTTGTCAGGGGGCCGAGCGCTGAGATCACACATTAAACGTTACTATGTCACGAAATAAAGGAGGGTGGTGGGCGTTATTCAGGACACACCCTTAGTACAGAAATTAACTATATGTAACACTGGACATTTGCACTAGCTCGGTACATAGAACTAAATCCGGACTCACTATATGTGAAAGATGTGAAAACCTGAACATTTTCTAGAATAAACAGGATGATTGTCTGAACTATTGTATTTCCAGCATATTATAATTTTTTCACCATTTATATACTATTATATAAATACACCAACTAAACCAATTAAAATAAAAGCCTAGTATTATTCTTTGTTTGTTAAATATTAAACTTTCTTAAAAATATAGAAGGTTTACGTTAGATCAATCAAAGGTCGCCACCAGGGGTGGCTTATGATATTTTCCAGGGGGGGGGGGGGTAATTTAACTCAATTGGAATTTTTTACAGTGAATTTGTTCAACTTTATAGCCAACAGATGAGCAGCTTGGGGAGTGGAAGGTGGAAAATGTGTTCGTATGATTTGGATTTAAATACAAAATATTCAGTTTGAGTGAAAAAGTGGCTCCGATGGCAAAATTGTTTTTGAACCTATTCTTAAAACTCAAAATTAAAAGGCTAGAAGTTCAGGGGAATGTCCTTCCAATTTTCCAGGGAGGGAAACGTCACGTCCCCCCTTCCCCCCCCCCCTCATAAGCCGCCTCTGGTTGCTACTTCTATTTCGGTTAACGGAGACAAAATAAAGTTTTTTTTAATAAGATTGTTTTTCCAGGGATTCCTGAGGAGGGCGGGATGGAGGATTTAAAGATTACAGATGAAGATCCAGGCAGACAATTATCATCTCTTAGACCAATATCATGGGCTCTAGGTCTCAGGCAGTTAGGTAACCATGCCTTTATTCAGTTCCAGGTCAGATCCAGGTATTCTATCTGGATTTCTAAGAGTCAACATAGAAGTTGAAGTTGATAGAAGTGATGGATTGATTGACTGATTAATAGGTTGATCTACAGATTCACATCTCGAGATCTAAACTTCAAGGGTGTATTTTTCTTGAAAATAATTTCCCCCCTCTTTGAAATTCGCTGAAATGGGGAAACTAAATAACTTTTTAGGTGAAATAAATTAATTTTTGGGGACAAAGGAATAAAAAAAACTTGCCCTTTCATATCCAATTTTTTATTTTTTGCTCCAATCCAGCAAAAGTTTTGGACTCTTGTCTGTAGAGCTAAACCTCTGAAAAAAAACTTTTTTAAGAGTGTCGTATAATATTTTATTTCTATCCAAATACATATTTTTTGTCTAGGGTCTAACCGAAGTCCTGGTGTAGTTAAAAGTTTAGAAGAAATCGCCGAAAATAAACTTATTGATAAAGGTTCCGATCATAGACAGGTGAATAGAAGCAAATACCTCAGATAAAAAATTGTAGACATATTAATTACAGGGTGTCCCACATCATATCGGATCGTTATTGGCTCTAAATTACGATTTTCGCAAATAATTGGAAAATTTTAGGAAAAGGAATCATTTTAAAAAACCGTATAAGGCCATTGTGAAAATTTTATTGCAGAAAATACTAGGTTTTTCAAGTAGATGTGTTAATTTTTGTTTTTAAAGCATAGAGATAATCCGATATGATATGGGACACTCTGTAACCGAAAAGAAAGTTACTAAGACCAGGTCATTAGTCAACAACCACATTGCTTTAAAAACAAAATTAATCAACAAGAAAGCTAATTAACATTTAAATTACTCAAACAAGTTACCCATTGCTAAAAACAAGTTACTCAACAACAAAGTTACTCATCAACCAAATTATTCATCTACGAAGTTACTCATCGACCAAGATACTCACCAACCAAGTTACTCAACAACCAAGTTACACAACAACCATGTTACTAAACAATAATATTAATCAACAACAAAGTTACTAAACAACAGAGTTAATCAACAACCAAGTTACCCAACAACCAAGTTACCCAACAACCAAGTTACCCAACAACCAAGTTACCCAACAACCAAGTTACCCAACAACCAAGTCACCCAACAACCAAGTTACCCAACAACCAAGTTGCACAACAACCAAGTTACACAACAACCAAGTTGCACAACAACCAAGTTACCCAACAACCAAGTTACACAACAACCAAGTTACCCAACAACCAAGTTACCCAACAACCAAGTTGCACAACAACCAAGTTACCCAACAACCAAGTTACACAACAACCAAGTTACCCAACAACCAAGTTACCCAACAACCAAGTTACCCAACATCCAAGTTACACAACAACCAAGTTACCCAACATCCAAGTTACACAACAACTAAGTTACCCAACAACCAAGTTACCCAACAACCAAGTTACCCAACATCCAAGTAAACTCAACAGCAAAGTTGCCCAATTTTGGTTATTCAACAACCAAAGTTATTTAACAACTAAGTTATCCAACAACCATGTTACCCAGCAACCAAGTTACTCAACAACAAAGTTATTCAATAAGTGACTAGGTTACTCAATAAGTAACTATTTTACTCAACAGCCAAGTTACCCAACAACTAAGTTTTTAACAACTAAGTTACCAACAACCATGTTACTCAACAATTAAATTAAAGTTTTTAATTAACACGTTGCTCAGCAATTGATTTTTTTAACAACCATGTTACTTAAAAGATAAATCTCTTGAAATTAAAGATAGCAATAATTACAGTTATAATAGAAATAATAATAATAAATACAGTTATAATACAAATAATAATAATAATTACAATTATAATACAAATAATAATGATAATTACAATCATAATGCAAATAATAATGATAATTACAATCATAATACAAATAATAATAATAATTACAATCATAATACAAATAATAATGAACCTATTCTTAAAACTCAAAATTAAAAGGCTAAATAATAATAATAATTACAATCATAATACAAATAATGATAATTACAATCATAATACAAATAATAATGATAATTACAATCATAATACAAATAATAATGATAATTACAATCATAATGCAAATAATAATGATAATTTCAATTATACATACAGTCGTAACCAGAAAGACTCGGAATTAATTGACAGTAAATCAGATGACTTTACATATATATATCTCTGGTAACTTTAAACGCACAATAAAGGCAGATTACTCTTTGGAATTGGCATGACTAGAGCTATTTTGTTATTATCGCTTCATTAATCATATTTTTAATATTAGATTGGAAAGACTTCTGATTAATTATAAACTAATTCGTGTCTTCCTGATAATGACTGTAATACAAATAATAATAACAATTAATTACAATAAATATTAAAAAAGTTACCAAGTATTTATGTTTATTTCAGGAGTTGCAAGATCTTGGAAGATGGGAGGAGGGTTTTCAAGTAATAAACTGTCAATTGGGGGGAACCACCAGGTAGTAAAAAAAATTATGCACCCCCCCCCCCTCAAATCCCCCCCTCTCTAAGATGTGCTTTATGTATTGTGTTATTACAATCACGAACTTGTTTTTATTGATTGCTTTTTGATCACCTTCCTTAAAGTTATCCATCAATTTATTTGGTAAAATCAAGAAATATTTAGTTTTTACCAGAGGTGCGAATTAAAAAGCTTGAATAAATTTTAATCCGATTTTTTCCGAGTTAATGATTGGATCATCTCCGAATCAGGGACCTAGGCCAGCTTAGATCCGGTCTTAAAATTGAATCTGACTCATAAACTCCTTGCTCTGAACTCGCAAATTTTTCTATTTTCTAAACAATAAGCCAATTCTAAAATGTCTAGTATGTACAAAGAAAGTACAAATTTAAAAAATCATGAAAAATCATTAATTTAAGTATTGTTTGTGTTACATTAAATTTCACAAAATAAGGTCTAATTAACGCGTAATTACTGGTACAATATGTGACCGCGTAACCACACATTAGAATGAAGAATAAAAAACTTCGTTTGGCTGCAGGAAATAAATTCAAACCTTTTTCATTCTTGAATTTTTTACTTGTCTCAAATTGGTGCTTAAAACCCCGCCCTGGCATCCACCTCTGAAACCAGGAAAAGTATTGATAAACAAATAACAGCTGTTTTTAGTTTTCCGTAATATGATATGTTTAGCTTGCACAAGAGTTTACTCTTCAAGATCAGACACGTGTTGAAAAATCCTTGAAATATGGGGGGGGGAGTGGGCATATGTTAAAGGGAGTGTTCGCGAAAAATGAAAGGGGGTATAGGCTTAATGCGATAAAAAAGCGCTTTTGATCGCTACTAATCTTACTTCTATCTGTTGCGTCTATAAGGAGAAAATTGATAAAGGCGTCTCATACCGAAGAGCGTAGCGCTCATACAAATTGAGGAAGTTGGAACATACGACTTAGACCGTAAAAAAATCAAATTAATATCAAACAAATCATTCAGATATTACAACCTATAGTCATCGATTATCTTTCGCCACATTTATATATAGTTGATTTTTCATAATATGTTTTAATTGTTATGATCTGAGAGTTACTTATAAAAACGTTTATTCCTGTTTCGAGGATTTTTGGTAATGAAGACGACATTTTCATATTTTCCAGGAATGTTCGAAAACAAGTTGTAAGCTAAATATTATTTAAAAAAACAAAATCAAAACTAATATGAAATATCAAATATATACAAATGTGGCGAAAGATAATCGATGACTATAGGTTGTAATATCTGAATCTTTTGTTTGATATTAATTTGATTTTTTTACGGTCTAAGTCGTACGTTCCAACTTCCTCAATTTGTATGGGCGCTACGCTCTTCGGTATGAGACGCCTTTATCAATTTTCTCCTTATAGACGCAACAGATAGATGTAAGATTAGTAGCGATCAAAAGCGCTTTTTTATCGCATTAAGCCTATACCCCCTTTCATTTTTCGCGAACACTCCCTTTAAGGGTTCAGTTTTGGGAAATTTTTATTTATTGTAATCCGTCGTTACTGCGTTTTCTCAAGTGGCTAGACGAGGTTTAAACCGGATTTACAACAGTACCATCTAACACCAATCATTAGTTAAACTACGGAAATGGAAATGTTGAAAAATGATAAATTCGGTCAATTTCCTCCACTCGTCGAGCCCGCAAGGTTCCAGGCGTGTAGTGGAGGGGGGGCGGTACCCCTTTTCCCCCTAGACATGCACCCCTAGGCCCCCCCCCTAGAGCCAGAGGCAGGCTCTAATTTATTAAACAGTAAACTTACATATATATATTCAGATTTTTTACTTTTCTTATCAATCGACAATGTCACAATTTGTCCATTTTATGATTATTTCTCAAATTCTTTCTTGTACCTTAATCTTATTTACGTGGGGTTTCATTTAAAATGATTAGTAATTATGGACAAATGACTAATAGTCAGACTTCAGGTAGATTAATATGGATTTTAGACATTATTTTTTCTTAATAACGGTTTTTTAGATGGGTGCACAAAATTTTTTTTTCGGCACGTCAAAAGTGCACCCCTTTAGACTAAACCTCCACTACGCGCCTGACTATGATTGTCCGAATCAGAACGAACCTTGGTTCTGATTCGGACAATCATGGAGATTAATTTCCCTCTATTTACAGAGTTTTATGTTCGTTTCACAATGTTAACTTTTAAACCGTTGTCTGCGGCAACATTAATCTCTCTGAAAATTGAATTATAGTTCTCTTAAAATTAAATTATAGTTCTCTTAAAATTAAATTATAGTTCTCTTAAAATTAAATTATAGTTCTCTTAAAATTAAATTATAGTTCTCTTAAAATTAAATTATAGTTCTCTTAAAATTAAATTATAATTCTCTTAAAATTGAATTATAGTTCTCTTAAAATTAAATTATAATTCTCTTAAAATTAAATTATAGTTCTCTTAAAATTAAATTATAGTTCTCTTAAAATTAAATTATAATTTTCTTAAAATTGAATTATAGTTCTCTTAAAAAATGACTTGTGAATTTATGCAGAAATAGCGACCGTTGGGAATCAGATTTCCCGCTCTATAAATAGAAGATTAGTTGACATTAAGTGAACTGCCCCTTTACTGGTTCTTTATATTACAGGTTCGGAATAAGATTTGCCGCTCTATAAATGGAAGATTAGTTAACATTAAGTGAACTGTCCCTTTACTGATTCTTTATATTATAGGTCAACCTTCCTGATGGTGTTCTCCCCGGACAGAACTCTCATGGCCTCCACACATGGGGACCATAATATATACGTCACGGAGACAAAGGTATCTTCTCTTTTTTAGAAGTTTAGTTTTCATTTGAACTTAATGAGGTTTTTATCGGAATCCCCGTCTGAATGATGGCTTTTATTTAAAAATTAATTTGATTCAATGATAACGATACTATAAACATTCACAGTATATTGGGAGTAAACAAAATTATTTTTTAGAGTGCAGTGCTTAGAATCCAATTCATTTAATTTTAATGCGGATCCGGATCCGTCCTGAAAAAATTGGATCTGGATCCATAATTTTATGCTGAAACTTGATAAACCATACAAAGATAAGATTTTTTTTGATAATCTCTTTCAAATTTGGGTTTTGAAAGCAATTACTTTTTTCAGATTTTTTTATTTTATTTGCCCCCTTGGATCCGGATCCGTGGATCCGCATATTTTTGCGGATTCTGATCTAGATCCAGGAAAACAAAAATTTCCGGAATAAACGGATCCGCATCTTAGGTCCCTGTTTAAACCTTACTTTTGTAGTCTGGTCGATGTGTGCAGACTCTGAAAGGGCATCCCCGGACCCCCTGGTGCATTGAGTTCCATCCAGCCCACAAGGTTATAACATTTTAAAGAGTGCCAGCAACAAATGGTATCCTCTGGATCCTGTTAAAGGGATTGCCAATGTAAGTTCAACTGACCACCTAACTGAATAGTTTCTGAGCAACAATGATAAAGAACCCGTCGTTTTTATAGATCTTCAGTCCATTTTATTTCTTCTCTGCCAGATGAATCCGAAAGTAATTTTTATAGAATCACAAAGCCACAAATGCAAAACTATCATTCTTCAGAAAGAAAAACTAGAATATCTTCCGTCACTTTTGCTTGGACAACTTTGGTATAAAATGTACCGTGGTAACAATTGAAATGGAAAGCCGGTGCACTTTAAATCACATTAACAGTCCCTTTAAAGAGAATTTTATGGAATTCTGCTATTTTCTTGCACATCTAGAGGGTCACATTAAAGTACGAGCACAGGATTACTATCAAATATTAAGACTGGACAACATTATCGTTTTAACGTTTTTTTTTTTCGAATTATTAGCCGGACCCACGAAAAGCTATTTTTTTTTTTTTAGAGAAGCCCAAATATAAATTTAAGTTGTCATATATAAAAAGTTTCAGGTAGTCTCTAGCTTTTAATAATCTTGTTGAATCAGGAAGTTTTTTTTAATAATCTCTAATTAGATTACACTTAATTTGTTTTAGCAGGGTTTGGTCAACATTTTTCCCCTTTTATCCAAAACCGGATCCGGAAAGCCAATATTTTGCGGATCCGGATCCTAAGAACTGTCTTAACCGTTTGTTTTAATTCAGGGTATAATAGCTAGCGGTTGTCTGGGAGGTCAAGTTCGAGTTTGGGATTTGTACGGAGGTTCAGGTGTGTTTTCTATTAGTTTTATTATTCAATTATTGATCTTAAAATTTAATTATTATTATTGTCGATGTCAGGATGCGTGGAACGATTAAATGTTGTAAGCTTTAAATGATTAATTTTTTCTCAACCAGAATATATGCACAGATAAGTTTTCCTGTTGATAGAGTCGTATCGGGGTACGTGTAACTGTCTTTGTTATATTTTAAATCATGGAAAATGGGCTCTAAGGGAGTAGTCCTCATCTTTGTTATATTTTAAAGCATGGAAAATGGACTCCAAGGAAGTGGTGGTAACCTCCATGAGCCTCGCGAAACTACGTCTGAACCGCTGAATTTTCCGCATGATATGCAAGCCCTTAGAGACTTAATTTCTTCACACTTTTAAGGCTTTAACACTTTTATGCTGTTTTCATCTTATTTAAATGGCTTAAAATACTGGAAAATTTTACTTGTTTGATATATTTAACCACGTTTCAGAGGTTTGGTGTACAGAGGGGGTTGTTGCAAGTTTAACATTTCATCCCGTGGAAAAATTTCTTGTGATTGCAACCTTCAATGAACTCCATTTCTGGGATTGGGAGAAACCCGAGCCTACTTTTAAGGTTTGTAATTCGGAATTTGACTAATATCATTTTAAAGTTTTGAATTTATAATATCTAGAGAGTGGAAGGGCGACATTGGTACTGGCAACTTTCATAGAATATTGATTTATAATATATTTAAACCTTATCCGTTGTCGTTTAGCATTGATGTTTTATTATTTTGAATTTAAAAGTTAATATTTTAAGCATGAAAAAAGACACAATTAAAGTAATATTATAAATATATTAATTATGTTAATATAAATAAGACAACTTCATTTTGATGAGATAAGAACTGATGGGGGGGGGGGAGGCCGAAGGGGTGACTTTTAAATATTTAAAGTAGATTAAAGGAGTAGATTAAAACCGTGTGTTTAGATCTCGACGTTGAACGAGAAGGAAAAAGTGAGGTTTGTGAAGTTTGACCGGCTCGGCCACCAGCTCATCACTGGGATAGCAAATCTTACAAATACAAACCTTTTCAGACAGGGACCTCACAGGTATGCTGCCATATTTAATAAAGGGAGTTTTAGCATAATTTAAAGTTGGCAATGCTAGACTCACAACGGTACCCGTGAAACTTTTATCTGATTAATAGTGTGGAAGAAATTGTCGTAGGTTTAGGATTAAAAGTGTCTAACTGGGATAATTCACATATATTTTCCTGTAAAGGAAAAATGGGGTATAGGCTGAAACCTAAGCATTTTAGAAGTTGATCGTGAGCCATAGTAAAATAAATACGTCCGTATCACGTGACCAGAACGCCCACTAATGGCAGTGCAGTATACTGGTCACGTGATACAGACAGTCACGTGATAATGCTACTCATGGGTCTCGATCAACTCCTAAAATGCTTAGGTTTCAGCCTATACCCCTATTTCATTTTTCCTTAACAGTCCCTTTAAGGATACAAATCTAAAACACCCTTAACCTTGACCACAGACCATCCCCTTATATCAAGGGAAAAGTAAATGTAAGGGTAAGTGTTGAAAAAGAGAATTTCTTTCAGAGGTTTTAATGGTCTTAGCTTTATTTCGGGAAAAAAATTAATTTTGAGTAAAATGTATCAAATTTAACATATAACTCAAAATGTTTTCCCCTTTTACCTGCCGTTTTAAAATTCATGAATATTGATCATTAATCATCCACTCCCTGGATCCGGATCCGCAATAATATGTCAATGGATCGAAATGGTAAAATATCATCTCAAACATCAGGAAATAAACTTTTTCCCAGATAATATCATTGAAACAGTTTTGACAATACCTCAATTCTTTAAGGACTGAAGAGGATATAAAATATATCGAAATTAATTTCCAAACCCGAGTTTTTTTACCTGTGAGAGTAAAACTTTTTTTTTGCGAGTTTGGACAATTTACATCATTAAATAGACATTTAATGATAAATCAAATTTCTACATAATAATTAGCAAAAAAAAAGAAAATATTGGAAATTCGTTATTGGTATAGTATTAAGCAAAATTTTGAACCGGATTCATATTTTTACAGAACGGTTCGGCATCAAACTAAATTAGATTCTAAACCATGTATCCTAGGGTTGCTGGTTCCGGAGATACACCTGGAGAAGAAGGAGTAGATGGTCGAGGTGATGGACAAGGAGAACCAGATATTCCAGATAGAGTTCCTCTCAACATGTCCAGCCAACGGTTATACTCAGTTGTCATGGAGAGGTAAAACCCATTGCCTCTTAAAGGGAGTGTTCGCGAAAAATGAAAGGGGGTATAGGCTTAATGCGATAAAAAAGCGCTTTTGATCGCTGTCGTATGTTCCAACTTCCTCAATTTGTATGGGCGCTACGCTCTTCGGTATGAGACGTCTTTATCAATTTTCTCCTTATAGACGCAACAGATAGAAGTAAGATTAGTGGCGATTAAAAGCGCTTTTTTATCGCATTAAGCCTATACCCCTTTTTATTTTTCGCGAACACTCCCTTTAATCAGGGGTGTACAAATTCTTGAAAAATCATTCCATTCGTCTTGAAAATCATTTTCCCCCAGAAGTTAGTGTTGAGCGATCAAACTACTGGCAGTAAACCTCAAAATATTTAGATACTCCTTATAGTATCACACCTTTTAAAGCTGTGTCTAAGTTGATCGGAACTTCCTATAAGCCTCACAAACTCTCGACTATCCTATCAGATCTTCACCTCGAGTAAATCAGAGCTCTGGTTACTGGATACACGGTTCAATCTAAAAAGTTTGACCGTATAATTCTTTATTTAATACAAGACAAATATATACAGATCAGTTTTCCAATGAATATATGAATCGAAAACAGTTTGCATAAACAAGAGACATTTAAGAATCCTTGCATAATCATAAATTAAATAAATATAAAAGCCCTGTAATTTTACTAGACTTAAAACATCTCAACGTTTACAAATGACATTATTCTCTTTCTCTAGTTAAACCATGAAAATACATAAATCAAAAAAAATACCTCACGACATCATATCAAATATCATCGTTTAACTGACTAGAAATGAATAGGGAAAATATGGTTTCTTAAAATATGTATACAGTTTATAACCGGTTCTGTTGCTGTGGAACGAACTCAACTAGACTCCGTCCGTCGGGACTTCACAGATTTACTCCAGGGTATTCAGGGATGTAGGAGTTCAGAATGTGACGAGAACGTCGCGTAACAGTTAGCTACATGGGTTTAATGGGACTTCAATGGACTATAATTTTGATTTCAACTCACTCAACTTTATAAACCTTAAATCTAATCTACAATGAAGAAATAATCCTCGTTTTCCAATTAATTTTTAATGGAACTAGAGAAAAAAAAACAAATTGATAAAAAATGGTATAATATACAATATTGTTAAGTTGGGTCCAAATATGGTTTTTAATTGATGTTTTCTATGTGATCCTGGATAAAAAATGATCCTATTTATGCGATTTTAGTGTCTAATAACTAATTACTATCTAGGTATGAGAGGTTAATGCATCGATATATCCGAGAGCGGGAACTAGATCCGCCGGATTTAGTTCCGGCAGCTGAGCCGGAGGAACCGGAAGAAAATCCGCCACTAAACTTGTCACCGGCGGAACTAATGATGCCAAGGTATTTAAATTGTAGACATAGATTAAAGCGATCTTCTATTTATAGATTTATAGCTTTAAACTTTTGTCCGAAACATCATGACGAATTGATATTCCTCTTTGCCATTGAAATTTTGAATGGATACGTTTCGGCGGCTAGGTGCGTCGACCCCTACTTCATTGAATGATGGGTTGTCCTTTAATAATAATAATGATGATTTGAAATTGGAGATTCCATTAATAAATAACATGCTACTGAGACAATGCTGGAAATTTTCAGAATTCAACATATTTTATGATAGAAAAAAATGATATCTTCATCAATGTTTCTTACAGGTCTTAAGGGTATCATTGTAAATTTCGAGAAGGAAAAAATACTTAGCTTTGGATAATTTAAAAAATTCATATTTAAAAGACAAACGGTGAAATTCATGTTAACAACAAATTTTAAACCTAACTCATTTTTTAGATGAGAATCATTTCCCTTAGGTACTCGATGTCGTTAACCTATGTATTTAACAACTCATCTTTTTATCCCAAACTAAGGTTTATTCTGTACAAATGAAATTATAAAATAAAACTAGTTGTTTCAACCTATCAGTGTTTAATTTGTGATTAAAATGAATAACAATTTTCTGGTTCAGTTACAGACGGTACTCCCTACTCCTGGACAATGAGAACCTTGATGTACCAAGGAGACAGTTTCAAGACCAACCAAGGTTTACCACATTCTTAATTATTTCAGGCTTAAAACATGGCCGATTTACGATATTTAAAAAAAATCTTCATTTTGAGTGATTTGAGTGCTTCAATGGCGCCGCAGGGAAATAAAAAAATATTTTTTAAAGTTTAAGATAAAAGGACCCACCAAGAAGAGGTAAATTCTCAAATTCAGGAAAGGAATGTCTTTTCTGGAAAATATATACCCCTTGAGTTGATTTTTTATGTGCAGGGTCCGTGGTGGTCCTGTCGGTCGAGCACATCGTGCAACTACACGAGGACGGGACGGTCTCCCTCGAGTTCGACTTCGTCGAGTTCCAACATTCAGAGAACCGGAATTTGAGGTGAAAACATAACTCCTAGCCACTCACTTTATAATTATCATACTAGCTTGAGAACCCAGCGTTGCCCGGGGAACTCATAGTTACTCCGGCAGTTTACTCGCGCTTGGTCGTAAATTACGATTTTAGCTATTATTCCCTGGAAAAGTTGACCCACTCAATTTAGAAACTCAAAACCAAGCTCAGAACATTTTGTGGTTCTCCCGAGTTCCCCAATTAAAAAGGTCGGCCAAAGGGCTTCATGAGTTGTTATCGGACATCATAACAAACAAATAGAGATAACTGCCTTAGTTTATATTTAATATTAAGCAGACTGTGTGTTACCTACATCCTAGCCGGCCAAACCGGAACACTTAGAAAGTTGTAAAAAATATTCAAATGCTTTATTTCTATGCCTGGGTATATAACATAGAAGAACGGTAAATCCCTTATATTGACTGTTTCGGCGCATTTTTTTGGCAGTATGATGGACTATTATTCAGATGCTACAAAGCGCTGGACACAGCAAGCCAAATTGTAACACTAAGAGAGTTGAAACAAAAATGAAAACGATAAATTATGAGGGATATTCCATCTACAAGCATTGGTTCTTTACAGCGCAATTCAAGTTTTACTTTTCAAAAAGGGAAAAGAAAAAAATTGTTTATTGTTTAGCCTCCGCCAACAACAAATGAGTCGAGAGAAAGCTTTCGCCGTGAGTTGAGGCGGCGGATGTTGGAGGCGCGTAGAGCCCGACGGAACGCCGACTATGCCAGATTGGTTCTTCAAGCTGCTGACGCTAGGAGAGAAGGGAGCCATGCCAACAGCAGCAGCTTCCAGCACAGCAGCAGTTCAGAGTTTATTCCTGTTCAAGATACACCTAGTTCAGGTAGTGTTTGTGATTAATCCGAGNGGGTTATCTGGAAAGAAGAAGATTTTAGTTTTCTGAATAGTAGATTTTCGAAATCTTACCCTTAATTCTTTCCCTGGTAATATTCGACAATTTTAAAAATCAATTTTGTATATTTGTAGTCAAATCTTATATAAACTATAAAGCTCTAAGAATTCTCACTTTACCCAAAAATTTAAAATTTTCCCCAATAAGGCGTTTACAGGTTAAATTAAGAAGTGGGGTAAATAATTAAAGAGGTTATGAGGGGGGGGGCGGGGTGGTGTCAAAAAAATATATGTCCATGATATACAATAATAATGTTGAATGTTTAGAGAGTAGTATGGGTCGCCCTAGTAGAATACTTGATATAGTCGGACCCCCGGAGCAGACGAGTGATATTGTATCCTCCAATCCTGGATTTAATATCTCACACAACCCTGTATTCTCCCTAGCTAGCACTGCTCCTGGAGCAACCTCCCAACCCACACCTAGTTTATCAGACATTGGAGAACAGGTTTTAACACATATTTTCTCTTTCAATTGTTTATCAAACTTTTACACAAAAACGTCAGATTTTAAGTGATTATGAATTTGATCTATTTTCCAAAGTGATAAAGTTCCAAGGGCATTTTTTAAAAATGTTTATAATTCTCAAAATGTCAAACCCACTTCACTTGGATATGATCCAACCTATAAAAACCTTTAGAAATCTCACCTTTATTAGTCTGATTATGGTGTAAATGATGAGTAGAGAAATGTTTTAATTAATTAAAAATATTTATTAAATAAATTATGATAGATTTACTATTGAAATCCTCTCTTTAATGAGTTAAACGCTCGATTCACAATGGCACCTTTAAACCCTCATCTCAGTAACACTAACAATAAGGATAATATCGTCGTTTTTATATGTAGAAAAATACTAACTTGGTCCATTTCCGTCGTTTTCTCTGCTACTTAAATCATCAAATTACTTATGAGAGAAACCTCAATTAAAATAATAAATTTTCAAAAAGAAAAACTGGGAAATCTTTCAAAAATTTTGCTTACGTAAAGGTGAATCAGACATATAATGGAAGGTGACCTGAGATTACGTGAACAGTTCCTGTATGGGAATTGAATGATATATTTTGCTTGGTTCAGGATATGGGAAGGAGTAGAGCTAATGAAAGGATGAGACGAATTCTCCACTTGTCCCGTACTGGGGTAACTATTCATCCTAGACAACAGCATACTAATCAGGTCAGGGAATTAGATTTTTAACACGCTTACAGTGGTATACAGAGTGTCTCGTATCAAATTAGATTATCTGCAAGCTTTAACGCTAAAATACGGACATGATACTCAAAAAACTAAGTATTTTCTGCATGTAATTTTCATATTTTCTTTTTTTAAATGATCTATTTTTTAAATTTTCTTTTTAGTCCCGGAAATCGTAATTTAGAGATATATACTATCCAATATGATAATGGATACCCTGTAAATGATTTAAAGAAATCAAAAACTTACTAATAGAAGAAGAAAAGGGATGACAAAGTGGAAACAAATGGAGGAGAACATAGGGAAGAAATTGGGAAGGGGAAGGAAAAGTGGAAAGAAAATGGGAAAAGAAAATGAGAGAAAAATGAAAAATGAAAAAAAGAAATGAAAATGTAAAAGGAAAATGAGAAACGAAAATGAGAAAGGAAAATGGGAAAGGAAAATGAGAAAGGAAAATGGGAAAGGAAAATGAGAAAGGAAAATGGGAAAAGAAATAAGATAGGAAAATGGGAAAGGAAAATGGGGAAAAATGAGGAAAGTGAAGGGTGGAAAAGTATGAAAATGAATCGAATATTGTCATATTATCTGTAAATTGTCGAAAAAAATGTTTGTTAATAATTTGTTATATTAAATTATATTCCTTTTTTAAACAAAATATGCATTTCTGATGGAAGTGAATTTCATCTTTTGATAAAAATTAAAATACTCAATTCAATTTTTTTTAGGATTCATCCGAAGGCGTAGATCAAGTTGAAATGGAAGACCGGGATGAGTTGGAGGCAAATGAAAGGTTGGGCGAGGGAACGGCGGATGTTATTGGTGCGGCGAATGTTCTGGTGGATGAGGCAGGAGATGTACGGATGTCGCATGAGGTCCAAAGAGTAACAATATCCTTGGGAGATAATCATGACAGGTTAGACCTAATTTGACACTGTAGGGTATTCGCACAAAAACATCAAACTCTTAAAGGCGGCCAGTCCGCCCTCAAAGTTTTATAAAAGATTTAAAAGATTCCATTTTTTTCGTAATATTGATCATTTTAGAAAGTATTAAATATTTCCTTAATTTATAATTATTGATAATTATTTTTTGAAATGCACATCATGTACAAGGACAACAAATGTTAAACAGGATTAAATTGTAATTTTTTTTTTCGTTAACCCGTCGTACAAACTTTATGATGGCTAATATAGGTATTAAAGTCAGAGATACTGTTGAAATCAAAATCAAAATGTAAGATCCTGGAAATTAAAGTTAAAATGTCAAATTATTAAAGTTATAAGCTGAAGGGGCTTGTTCTGAGATATGGGATGGGTCAATCTACTGAAAATTCCAGAGATTATTTCAATTTTCAAGGATAAACGAGGATGGGATGATTTAAGCTACAAATACATTCCAGAAGAAATTATGCACCAACAAATTTATCGAAATGTATTATTTATACAAGAAATATGGAAAGAAAAACCAAGCAAAGTATGTATACCGAATACCGGAGGTAGGGGGGATAAGAGTAAAGTATTAGGACCGCTAAAGAACTGGTTTAGATAAATTATCAACTGTTTCTGGTAAATAAACCCGGTCTTCCTACTCTGAAAGTGCACAGGGTTTCCTCTACCAATTTTTGTTATCTTTTTGCTAAAACTTGTTAATATTTGTCCTAACACGTCACAGTCAAATGTGGTGAAATAATATTCTTTTCCCTAAGTAGGAACAAACATAGACATAGAAATATTATTTTTCCAGGGTTGAGAATAACAATAGTTCCATGGAAACAGAAGTAAATCCCAACAGTTCAGATCCAACAGATATTCAGGAAACCACAAGATCTTCCCAAGGAGACACCATGTAAGCAAAATTAAACACTAAATATAACTTCTATTATGGAAAAATTATGTTCTCAATGATGATACCTGATAAAATGATTTATTCAGGTGTGTATACTTTCCTGAAAAATCACCCGTCCCCTTTTTGAAATAATTTTCCCCTCATATGGTTAAGGATTTGTTCGCTTATGAGCAAATATAAAACTTTAGGCACTTTACTGTCGTTGTTTTAGAAAACAGAATGTTCAATTGAATGGTTTCTAGAATAAAGAAGGTAAAAAATAAAAAAATGACATTTATGTGTTCAGGTTGATCAATAATAGATACAGTGCACAGGAACAGGAATCAACAAGAATAATACAGGATATACCTTCCATGGAAGACAGGTAAAAAGGAAATGACGGAAATCAATATTTTCTTCAAAAATCGTCTAAAAAATGAAACTTATGGGCTAGAAGGCGTCCCCTTTTTTTGGAACGTTTTCCACCCGTTCCCATTGTTGTCCCTTGCTTTCCCCTTTTCCTCCTTAAGCCGTCACTGTTTTTTATATATCCGATAATAATGCATGAACTCCTTGACTAATTTGCTTAAATTTTGATTTGGAAACTTGGGAGAACTACTGGAATTTAACTGTGTTAAAAATTCTCAATTGAGAGGCTTGATTTTCTAAGGGACATTTTAGACTTTCAGAGAAAGTTGGGTTCCCAGGTTAATCTATATATATATATATAAAGTTGTAATATCATAACACAGGAACCCCTCTAGACCGATTGATTTTCTTCAAATTTTGATAGGGGAACTTGGGAGACCCACTAGAATGTTCATAGCTTTGTTTTGAGACCTTCTAAGTTGAGTGGGTCGACTATAATAGCGAGAATTTAGTTTCCTGGTAAAATCTTCCAACTGCGGGGAACGGTGCGAGTAACTTTGAGTAATCTGTGGGTTCTCAAACTAGTGTTAAATAATGCTGATAAGTTTTATTTGTTCTAGGTTTGGTTTGGCGCCTAGAGAGGAGGGTCGGGATAGTTCTGTAGAACAGTTTGGTCCTAGTTCTCGTAGGATTGATATTCCTATTGCAGGTAAATGGCAGTGGCCAAATTATCCAGCTAAATTCAAAATTTACCAAATTCTTAGATTCCAAAATTCTTGGGAAGATCCCAAATGTATGGTTATTTGGGAAATTCTTTTTATATTAAAATTATACCCTCCTCGGATGCTGATAGGAGTTATGGAATCTATAGAATTTCATTTCTATCATGGATTGGTTAGAAATATTAATTGTAATGATTACACAAGATTTTGCTCTTAACTTTACATGGAGTTCATGGTTTATATATTTATTAAAAACTTAACAAAATTTAAAAATGTACATCCCCATTCCAGTGCTTTTGTCTGTTTGTATATCTGTCACCATGAAATTATATATTTATTCTTTTATTTAACACGATTAAAAGAGCTATTTTAATAAGATTTGTTAAACAAATTTATTAAAATATTGGATATAGATTTCACATAAATACAAAACAGCATTGCATTTCAGTTTTTGTCCATTTATAGGTGTAAAGTCTATGATAACTTCAACAACCCTTTCAAGGTTACCGTTCAGAATCCAACAGTCAAAATCAAAGACAGCTCCTTGTATTAATATAGTGCTCTAATAAGGTCGTGTGTTATAACCTGTTTTTTTAAAAATAAGTAATAACAATAGATAAGGTCCAGGCTGAAAACCCAATGTTCATGAAGGCCTTGAAACCCCATTCTGAAACTGTTTGCAAATTCCTGCATTTTTATTTGATTTGATTTAAACAACTATAAAAGCGGGCTTTAAAGTTATTAAGATTGATTTATAGATATGAGTCCTCCTGTGTCATTGCCCCCGGTCAACCTTCTCACCCCCACACAGATAGTAGAGAGGTTAGAGGCTAGGAGAGAGTGGAGGTTGGAGGCTAGAAGAGAAAACGCGAGGACAGCTGAAATTCTCAGGTAAAAGGGTTGAGGACGGTTTGATGAAAAATTGGACAAAATGGTTAATTGATTGTGTGGTAAATAAACGGATGGATGAATTAATTGCTTGATGATATGATTTATGAATGAATTGATTGGTTCATTGAATGATTTGTGGATGAATTAATCGTTTCATTGATGATTTATTGATGAATCAGTTTGCAGTTGTGCCTAGGTCGGCATGCTGACCAGACCTACTAGACTGCTCTCAGCACTTTGTATATGTGGGCGCTATGAAAGGCTTTACACATTAGAGGGAGGGAAGGCCAAGTCCCATGAACCCCATGCTTGATTAGTTAACTTCCTATCTTACTGAAACAGTATTTACGGCACGGGGTACTAAGTCAAGAATAAAGAAGAAAAATAAAAAGAAGGAAATGTAACAAAGAGCCAAGATGTCTAATGATAATCCGGCTTTACTTTACACCCACTCTACTTAGCGATCGGAGCCTTTTCTGGAAGAGCCCTGTGTAAAATCTATTTAAGGCGATTTACAGCCTATTTAAAGAGAATATAAGACAGCAAATTGTAAGCATGAAAGACAATATTAAATATGTATTTCAATGGGTTCAATCTAAAAATATCTAAAGTTAGTTTATGTTACAGAGAATATAGTTACTAAGATTGAAAGATAAATGTATAAATAAGTTAATAAGAAACGTACTTTTACTGCACTATCTCTTGGTTTAATTGAGGATGGATACAAATCTCATCTTTGGATATCGGACTCTGGACTCTCGCCTCTAGACACTCGACACTGGACTCACGCCTCTGGACTCGGGACTTGGTGTAGACTCTTTGTACTACTGTCATCTGGACTCTGGACACTGGACTCGGGACTCTGGACTTTGAACTCTCGACACGGGTCTCTCTGGGATATTTAACCCATCTCCAGTGATGGTTAGCTCCATACTGATCAAACTACTTGCGTACACTAAGATAGTAATGTACACAAGAGTACTGTACAGTTAATGTGTCACTACACATGTACCGGATACAGCTGGTAAGAAAGCTAAAGGGGGGGGGGGCAATCTGTAGATTTAATATTTGTAAGATTAACAAGTTATCTTCAGATTACACCAACCACAGGTTTTACACCCTGTTCCGCAGCTGATTAAAAGACACACTCCCCGTGTTTTAAAGCAATGGGACAGCATGCTTAGCGGGTTATTTCTTCTTTAAAAAATCTGTCCACGTGGGAATACACGATGGTATATCTCTTACCTGTTACCCCTACACCCCCATCCTTATCCTCCTACCTCCTAAAATCCAACCTTATTCTACTTCACGAGCAGATATAGAAACTGCTTTCTGTGGAATCTTAATCAAAACTTTCTGTGATTGGTATCATGGGTGTTCCTTTCTTAGGGGTACATCTAAATCACCTCTAACCTACCCAAATGCAGTTAGGGCTAGGAGGTTTTTAAAATTTCTTTACATGTAACTCAATGCAGCTGACAAAAGCAAGTTCTCATTACAACAATGTCAGCAATAAACCGTCCTGCATAACTCCATTCGTGGTTTTAGGGTTGCCTTGATAAATAATTTANCTAATAGAACGCAGCAAACAAGGGCAGCCAGGAAACAAGAAAATTGGAAAATGATTAACTGCGTACTGCATTAAATACATGTATCAATAAATTTGTTTTATATAAAATCTGGAAAAAAATTGAAGTAAAAATTGATAAATCAGTTTGATTGATAGATGGAATGATTGATTTTAAAAGTGATTCATTGAGTGATTGATTAATTAATTTAAGTTAAAAGATTTTGTTATCATTAAATTGATGAACCCGTTGATTGGCTGTTGGCTGTTTGATTGATTAATTGACTAGTTTGATTATTTTACTAATTATTTTTTAGATTATGTTATTGAAAACCTTTTTTATTTCATTTAGATCTCCACTCCTTCACTGGGACTCCGGTAGGACTAACCTGCTCTACAATGAAAACTCAAGAACTGAAAGGTCTAATTCTCAAGAAGGAGGGAGAGCAACTGGTCAGGAGGGAGGGAGGGCAACCTCACAGGAGTCTCAAAGATCGAGCAGATATCCTGGGATAGGATCGGATGGTATCAGATCTCCAGGTACCAGTTGCAGTAGTACACACATTTATCGGCACCTACCCCTAAAAGGCTCAGCAACATGAGAATAAGTCAAGTGGAACACCACTTTTGCCAGTTTTTTATAGAAACCACCATTTATACCCCCTACAGAACTAAAAACGCCATTGTTCTTAAATAATTGAATCAGATTTTATAAGAGCTTCTTAACAGTTTAATACATAATTTCTATCATTACTGTTTATACATTTAGAATCCGAACCTATGTCTTCTCAATATAGATTATATTATTTTATTAAAGCCAATTTTCATGTTTAGGATATGGACTTGAGACAGGGAGATCACCTACAGCTGGATCAGAAGCTGGACGTTCCCCAGGTCGATCTATCGATCAGAGCAGATCGCCGGGACGATCTCCAGGAAGGAGTTTTGATCTAGATATCCTGGGTATGAGGGGTAGGGTTAGCCGAGGTCGACGATCAACTGCTGATGCTCCTTCCTCCTCAATCCTATCAGACCGTTTGTCTGGGATGCAGGCAGAGGTAAAATGAATACAAATGTTTATTTTTTAGTTTTGGTTTACCTGAACGTCCAAACCGATTGGGCCAAATTTTTAATCCCTTTACATCTCGTTGTTTTCTAATTGGTGATAATCCCTTTACATCTCGTTGTTTACTAGATTGGTGATAATCCCTTTACATCTCGTTGTTTTCTAGATTGGTGATAATCCATTCACATCTCGTTGTTTTCTAGATTGGTGATAATATCTTCACTCTCGCTGTTTTCTAGATCGGTGATAATCCCTTCACATCTTGTTGTTTTCTAGATTGGTGATAATCCCTTTACATCTTGTTGTTTTCTAGATTGGTGATAATCCCTTTACATCTTGTTATTTTCTAGATTGGTGATAATCCCTTTACATCTTGTTATTTTCTAGATTGGTGATAATCCCTTCACATCTTGTTATTTTCTAGATTGGAGATAATCCCTTTACATCTTGTTGTTTTATAGATTGGTGATAATCCCTTTACATCTTGTTGTTTTATAGATTGGTGATAATCCCTTTACATCTCGTTGTTTTTTAGATTGGTGATAATCCCTTTAAATCTCGCTGTTTTCTAGATTGGTGATAATCCCTTTACATCTCGTCCTCCCAGCTCCGCCAGTGAGATAGAAATTGAACTAACATCAACACAGGTCAAACTTTTTTCTTGGTTTATTTGAACGATGCTATGAAAAGAGACCTAAAGAGGAACTATTCATTAAAAAATAGCGAATAGTTTCAGCTCCCCGAGAGGTTTTTTAGATTTAAATCGACTCTCCATTATAACTAAACTTCTAACCCCCATTCAATTTCACCCTCCCAGCATAACTTTACTTTACCTTAAGATCTAATACAAGTTTAGGACATAAAAACCATAGTTCAGTTTCCTCCAGGTTGGATGAGTGGTTACTATGTAAAACAAACAGAAAATAGTGGAAATTTTTTTATTTCAAAATATTGATACACATTTCTAATTTGATACAAGTGCAGAATAAAGCTGTCGGAATGTAAATTTGGACACTCAAACGGAGGCAAGATTTCAGTCTTTGAAACAAATTCAAAACTTGACTTGTGGCCAATTCGATTAGTAATCTTAAACTTGCTTATGTTTGTATAAAAAAATTGTTCCAAACAATTTTTAGAAATATGTCAGCTATAATAACAAAAATCAACAAAATCCATAGCAAGATTTTGAAAAAAGAAGAATAAAGGGAGACTAGTTCACACCATTTTTTTGTTACTGTATTATTTTTCGTTCGTGTAAATTACTTTTTTGGGTCATTTGAATTCGTGTACGTTGAATGTTTTCGATAGGTATTTTAATTCATCTTTTTTTATTGCTGTAGAATTCCACAGTTTCTTCTCCCAATGCCCGCCCCCTGACTGCCCGAGGCCGATATTCTGTAGATGTTGATCTAGGTATCCTTGATACAGGTAAACCCACTCATTGTATCTGTACTGTACTGTACTGTACTGTACTGTACTGTACTGTACTGTACTGTACTGTACTGTACTGTACTGTACTGTACTGTACTGTACTGAGCTGCCTTGACTCGCTCACAATCGTAAAACCAAATAAGATCGGTTTTAGCAAACACAGTCTTGCTTAAGCTCGATTCTTAGCTTGTGTAATTTTAAATCATAATTTGAGTTATCTACGTGTATCACAAGTTATAAAACCACAAATCTACCTTGATTCAATAGTGTCATCTTGAGGTGGAAATGTGGTCAGTAGGACGTCCCTAATTATTTGTATTATTTGTAAGTTCTTAACCTGGGCATCAATCGATTCTAAAGCCGGGGTTTAATCAGGGTTAACCTTTATTATATTGTAGGACGTAGTTCAGTTGATACTCAGGGTAGACACTCCGCTGATTCTGCTTACAGAAGATCCTTCTCTATTTCAAGTGATATTGGAGCACAGGTGAAAACCAGTAACACTGTGTATCAGAGGCGCAACTGGGATATTTTGAAAGATAGAGGGGTGGATAAGATTTTATTTTTATTTGGTGGGATACTAGAAAGTATTGCATGATAAAAATCATAGAACTGCGCATTCTTTTGTTAAAATCAGGTAACTTTAGTTGTTTTTTATTTTCTTGTCAGGGTTTTCCCCGTCCTAACAATAATTATTGTTGTGAAGTGAAGGGTTGGGATGTGACTTAAACCCTTGAAGAAACTACCTGGAAAGTGGGTCATTGCGCACTTGCGTTGCATACTATTTACCACTAAGACTCAAAGAGGGGGGGGGAGTCAAGAATTTACCATAATTTGGATGATGGTCTGGGGAATTAGTGAAGAAGAGAAGGATTGGTGTTTGTAAGCATAAGGTTGAAGTAGATTTTATTCTTCTGTTTGTTTAGGGAGACCCTCCTCCACACCCTCCTACTCCAGCTGATGTTATTGCGGTGGAGACAGGAGATGATGATTTTGCTAGTGATTCAAGTTCCAGTAGACCTGGCTCCAGGCTTAACAGTAGTTCAGGTAGATATTGCTAATGATTTAAGTTTCAGTAGACCTGGCTCCAGGCTTAACAGTAGTTCAGGTAGATATTGCTAATGATTCAAGTTTCATTAGACCTGACTCCAGGCTTAACAGAAGTTCAGGTAGATATTGCTAACGATTCAATTTCCAGGTTTATAGTAGTTCAGGTAGAAATAGCTAGTGATTCAAGTTCCAGGCTCAATAGTAGTTCAGGCAGATATGTTAGTTATTCAAATACTAGTAGACCTGGCTCCAGGCATAATATTAGTTTAGGTAGTCATTGTTTCTGAAGCGAGATTCCGTAAGTTGCATTTATAGAAAAACGTTGGAAATACTAGATTAAAAAAACAAGGATATCTCATACACTCTTGATCATAAAAAAACGTTGAGAGCACCATTGTGAACCGGATATACCATTATTTATATGTAGGGTCACTATAATTTACATTCTTAAGCTTTAATATTATTAGATATATCGTTGGACTGTTATTATTAAATTTTTGTATTAGATCGACCGGAAAGCCGACAAAACCTGGATTCTCGACGACCACGTCTCTCGATGTACACATTTCCCTCACATGACTCTAGAAACAGGAGAAGGTAAGACATGACGTGAGGGTTTGACAATTTTGAACAACTTTTTTAAATGCTAAATCCAGTTTTCATATTTCAAATTTTTAACTAATTACTTAGGAATACTCTGGCGAGGTTAATAGAAGAGGAGAATGCTTATGCCCTGACAGAAAACAGGCGTTCCTCTACAGCCACGCCCCTACCCACCTATCCTCCTCTACCTACCTATCCAGATACCTTGAGTAGGGAGAGAGCAACCTCGGCTACATCTGCTCTAGCTTCCCCTCTTCCTCCATACACAGGGCGTAGTCCGAGGTATGAGATTTTAAACTCATGAGCCAGGTTTATTTAAAATATACAACCTGTAGTTGGCCGCAACCTTTCTGGAAAAATAGAGAAGTTTTTGAAATACATTGGTGCTGGTACTAAACCGTGTTAACGGTCTTAGTCTCCTAAAACTGGGATGGCCTTCAAATCACATATTATTGATTGATTGATTTACTATCTAGGGGAGATTCAGACTCCACGGATGCTCCAGAGTTAGATTTTAGAGATATCCCAGGTTTACCAATCAATCTTACAGAGCGTAACCAGCAATTCATTCAGGAATAAATTTGGTCACACAATTATTTTTCTCAAGTTTAGACTTGTTTCTGGTAAGCCGTAAAAACTTATATGTTAAGCCCCCCCCCCCCACAGTTAAGTATTTATCTTATATTTTTAGGAGGTCATGGGTGGGTGACAGGTTTTTGTCACAATACTCTTCTTAAAATACATTTGTCTTGTTTTTCATGGCAAAATGGGAAAAAATGAATATATTCTGATTCCCGTTCATATATTTATCCTTGACTGGATCCTAGAAATCCCCCATATATACACTTTATAGAGGTCATTGTGTATATAGGATATGTAAAGATTGTAAAATAACATACTTTATATTTTTTTTTAACATAAAATCACAACGGATTGAGGATAATTTAGATATCAAATATTCTATCAACCATTATTAAAAGATCGGGGGGCGTGCGCGCCAAGTATTTGTTTGGTCTCAAAGTTGTGTCGGAAATTACCAGTATTCTGTCGGATTTCAGAACTTCAACTCAACAACATCTTTGAAACGTCTCCTAAAAAAATTGCTTAACTGACCAAGCCTTATTTGACTTAAATAAAATGTTTATGGTGTAAACTCCATATTGCTATTGATTTCCCAAATAGTATTCATCAACCAAATTTCACCATCAGGACGAGATATTTCAGAGAGAAATTTCTACAACGGAACCTAGTAATCCTCCAAACCTACTCCAAGACTCCCTGACCAGAACTATACCCTGGGAGAATATAACTGACGAAATATCCCCAGAAGTTATCACAGATCCTAGTTCTACTTTACTAGCTGATCCTGTAGTTGCAGAGGACATGTCTACTGTTGGTAGTTCTACAATATCAGTAGACAGACCGGATACTGATCCTCTAGCCTTAGATTCGGAGGAGGAGGATTTAATACAACCAAGGCTTGAAGTACGGGACACGTCAAATACTAGTTTACTCACCGATCCTGTCGTCAATCCTCAAGATGGTAATAATACTACTGCTCAAGTAACAAGGGATAGTAATGGAACTAGTGCCGAGAGTAGAGAAGCTTCGCGTCGGCATAATCTTGATGTTTCTTTGCTCGCTCGCCATATTGAGCACATGCAGCGGATTTGCCGCGCTAGTTTAGAGGATTTACCACAGTCCAGACAAAGACGACAGGTTATCCGACTTCAAGGGATTCGAAGAATGCTGGAGGATTTGCACAGACAAATCAGAAATTTACAGGTTTGTTATTTCTTCAATAGAATATAAGATTTTTTTTTAAAAATTTTAGAGGTCCTGTTTTCTAAATACGGTTCGTGAATCCATGCTTCAAATATATATCTTCTTACTCTTGTTATAAGCCCAATCACTATTTTTCTTCAAAAAGGACGGGTGGGAGATTCTGTTTCAGCAGTTCTATTCAGTTTTTTCAGCTTTTAAGAGTAAACTGAAAAAAAAACCATTAAATTGTGCATATTTTAAAACTAAACTGTTTATTTTAGTTAGTAACTAATCTGAAATTTATTTGATAAACTATTCAGTCCACCGTACAGGGTGCAGTTGGAGCAGCATCTTCTCCTGAATCCGGAGCAGAAGCAGCAGCAGCAGCAGGAGCAGCACCTATTCCTGCAGCTTCTACATCTAGACGGTCAGAGTTCACCTCAGTCAGAACTAGGTAAACTGCCAAGATAAAAAAGAGATATTTCTCAGAATAAAGTAAAAAATATTAAATTTTTACTCTCCGTAATTCATGATGAGGGTTAAACTAATTAAAAACAGCCTTTTAAATTTAAATTGTTTAATTATGGATTTAATTTTTCGTTTTCAATTTAACAACGGGAATTACTCTTGTCAAAGATTTTAGAAATTTTGTTCATCAAATTTCTCGATTTTTTTAAAATAAGCTATTTTTCCTTTTAGGAGAAGATCTGGTCAGCTGACGAATCGGAATCAGGGTGTACTAGCAAACCGGTCTAGGTTGACCCGCGCTCAGAGCGCTCTCTTCTCCAGGCTTCATGCTACAGTCAGAGCAATGGAACTCAGTCCAGACTTGTCAAGGTTTAAACTTTAATTCAACTTATAATTGAATGGCACTTCTCTGTCTCATTAAGAGTTGAATTTTATAACTATTTTAAGATGTTCGTTTTTATGGAGATACAAACGTTAGTTGTGACAAATGAACTTTCGTATTTTTGCAAACTGCACACTGCGAATCGTCAATTAAAAGCCTTAATGCGAAGTGCAATCTCTTATTTAATTCCTGATTTTGTAAATTTACTGGATTGGAGTGTGGTATAGTACGTCCCTACAAGTCTGATTTGATTTGATAACTTAAATAACAACAAATGTCATTTCTTGAATATTTAACAAGTTCACTAAGTCGACTTTCAGGAGTGTATATGTTTTTAAGTCGTGGATTTGGGGAAAAATATGATTAAAAAAATGGTGGAGGGTGGGGGGCGGG